TGCTCCTAGTACTAGACTCCTGGTACTAGGATGGGTTAAATGCAGAGGCCAAATGTCACTGTGTGTGCTGTGTGCTCTACATGTGTGACCATTAAAGAGGGTTTCATCCCTCCAATTCTATCTATCTAATGGCAAATTTCCAATGCAGCAGGGTAGCACCGTTTAAGCGTCCCTAAGCGTCCTCGCTCAGGCCTCGGGCTGCCTCGCTGGCCGTCCGAGGCCGTGGCGCATTTCCATTACAGTTTAGGACCTGGGGTAGCAACGCAGTGTAGGCGGGGCATCTGTGCAGAGACATCTTGGAACACTTTCACATTTCGAGTTGTTCTGTCGAGCTCCCGCTGGATTTTATCATCCCCAATGAGATGTAGGAACGTCGTCACCTCCTCGGTCGACCACGGTGTGCTTTTCTTTGACGTTGCCATTTTTGTAGTTCCTCCGTTTACAAAAATGCTGTGTATAAAAATGCTGCAAGCTTGCTTCTAGATATACAGTAAATGCGATGCTAGGGATGATCTCGCGCGCGATCTTGTGACGATTCTCTCTGACCAATCAGCAGTCGAGAGTGTTGACGTCACTAGTTCAGCCCTGGCCCTGGCCTGATAGAACCACGATTTTATGGGGCCGGAAAAAGAGGGGAAAAGTACCCGCTAGCCGGTGCTACGCTATATGGAAAGGCCACCAAAAACTGGCCTGGCCGATTAAGGACGCTTAAACGGGGCTACCCGCTGCAGTCGAAATGCGCCATAAGTATGATTTAACAACTGGGCTTAGTTAAGCTAATGCATGTTTAACCTTATTTTAGGTTTGCCACTATAAACACCTAAAGAATATAACACAAACTGTCCAGTAAGTAGCATGTATGTCAGGTTTAGGGAGGATTTGTGATGACGATAAATAAATAAATACTACCTGAAAACATACTGCACTCCATATTTTACTTGCAATGTGTATACTGGTAAACAATCCTGCTCCTGGTACAAAGCACTTGTTACTCTAATCTCCTCAGGGACTTTTTATTTTGGCTTTTTCCCTCCAGCAAACAACTGCTCAAAGGTTTTGCTGCTGCCTAACACACACAATATCTGCTTTGACCTCCAATCAGGTGTTACTAAGTCATCGACTAGTGCTGTTCAGGTTGACTTTGGAACAAACTCCTGCCAATCAGCTCTCAAGCTTCCAAGCCCTGCTGCTTCACCTTTGCTAAGTACACCTTAGCATTTTCCTTTCACACGTTTCATCTGCTGCTTCCTGCCATCACACTGTGCACTCCTCAGAAAACACAACCCGCTGTGCTGTCTGACCACAACAACCATTCTGACTTTAAAGTATGATTTTCTCAACGACCAGCTCAAATAAACATTCACATTTCCCTGGGCACATACCTGCCCCACAAAATTCACTTCTCCACTTTCATCACAAAGGTAATATATTTCATCCTGTGAGCTAACAAATTATTTTTCCTTTTTCCTTCCAGTTGCTACCACTCGTATGTTAGGTATAGTAGCACTGAGTGATTAAACCAAATATAACTCACAATAACAGGCAAAACTCATCTACCATATCTCTTCACTGGGATTTTATGGTTAGGGCGAGAGGGTAACACATCATATGATTTACCTCCATATACCAGGATTCCCTGCCATCCTATCTCTTCTCTCTCCTCTCTCCATACATGTAGATACCTGGAAGGTTAAGTTAATTTGATGTTCTATATAAGGTGATTGATTCACAGCATGGGCATTCTGTATATCCACGGCACTCAGTGTGTGAAATGTAATTTAGCTGTTTGTTTTCAAGGAATACCTTTCACAGACACATTTTTCTACCCATCTTGAGAGTTTTGTTTTCACATCAATCACTTTAGGTTGGACGGCTCCCTGCTAAGGCTCGAGATGAGCCCCAAAATAATGAAAGAAAGAAAGCTTTGGTAAAAAAGTAACAGAGCAGTCTTAAAAGAAAGCTGAATTTATGGTAGTGGATAAAAGTCACTTAATGGTCATAGTTGGTACAGTTACTAACACAAAGATTGGTATTATAATCTACAGAATGAGAACTGTTTTGTTTTCTGCCTTGAACAGGAACCTTACAGTTCCTATAACAGATGAAGAAAAGACCAAAAACAAATGTCATTTGTACTCAACGCATAGGTTAAATTGTTGATTTAGTGTAGTTACTCAACTTCAAGGCCCTTTTGTTAAGCAGAGACCTTTTTAGCTCACTCCTTTTTTTCATACAATTAAAGAAGCTTCAAGTCACCTTCAGATCACACTGGCAGGTAATTTAGAATTGTTTTGGTTCCAGACCAAGGAGTTACTCACAGTACGAATTAAAGACCTCTCCCTTTTTAAATATGATTTAATGTCGTCCATCTATATCAGGGACGGGCAAATGGGGCATGAGGCCCCCACCTCCTCTCAGATAAATGTAGAAAATAACGTAATTAAAATAATTTTTTTAATTTTTTAATTTAGTTCGGCAGCCAAATACCGCAAAAATAATCTGTGACGTATTTGTGTGTATTGTGTTTGTTTCCCGGGGAAACACTCACAAGAAAGTGTTAGTCTACTATTTACGTTTAACTTCGAAAATTGGGCCGTATTAATGTTCACCTCTTGCCTCATTGAAGTGCAGTTGTCGTCCGGTATTG